GGCTTCTCTCCTGAATCGGACGCCAGTGCTCACGCCGAACGATGGAGAGACTCCGTGACCTCCACGACCCGGTTGAAGCTGACCAGAACCCCTGATGAAGCCGTTTTTACCGATGTTTCTCTCAGCCTGGATACCGACGTGCGGTTGCGCTCGTTGACCAGGTACTTTACTTACTCCCCCGAAAACATCCGTCCTCATACGATCATTATTGTGTATATTACGATTGAAGTTGAGGTCCCAAGACGGTTGCCGATTCGGCCCACTTAGAGGTTGTGTTCCATGGAAGTTTATCGAGTTTTGGGGGTCGGCTTCTCTCCTGAATCGGAATATACCGCTAAGTTCGGAATTGTGAGATGAATAATCACTCGGCTCCAGATCACCATAAACACGAAGCAAATCTTCTTCATCGATTTTATGCAGAATGTTCAGTTGGCCGTTCAATTGTGGCTCAGATCCGGAAGCCACACTCGCGGTTTCGATGAGATCGTTGGACGTGTCTTCGTTGTCCAAGAGATATTTGTTAATAGTCGCATCGATCAACAGTTGCGGAACTTCCTCCTCATTTACGTTCGCGGCAATACTATTCTGAACATCAGTATCGCGACGATATGGCAGTGACTAAAAATTACATTCACGAGATTAAAATTTTATTTTCTACGTGTCTCTCGACAATTATTAAATTGTAACTTTTTGTTTTATTATAAATTTTAAACAATGACTGAATCGCAGTGTATAAAGTAATGCATTCTAGTACTAATGCATTCTGTATTGCATTGAAAATAAACTATATATAGTATTGAATTTAATAAATTATTTAATTTACTATACGTATATATATACTCACATACGAAGTAGACCATTGATATTTTTCGTTTTCAGCGATTGTGTACGCAACGACACATAATAGAACTATAACTGCAGCGTGCAGCTTCATTCTGAATACTAATTGAAAGACTCAATGGTAGTTCAGCGTCTCACGAACAGTAAACTTCTGTGCCGGTCTCGAAGAGGTTTCGCGCTTTTATGAGACATGCGGTCCACGCAATCGCCTCGCACGGGACTTCACCGCGTCTTTATTTTTACAACCGTATCTTTCGCTTTGTCGCGCGACGGCAGCTGCTACCGTCGACGTGTCTCCCGCCGTTCTCATTAAGGGAATCCCGTCTCGCGAATGGTAGTGAACTCTCGCGCCGATTGCGTAGCGAGAGCTATCTCTTGTGTTATTTTTCTTTTCGTTATCTCGCTGTGTCAAGAATATACATGATACGCAAAACTAAATACATTCGTATTTATCATATTGCACTGTTGCTCAAATATCATTTTTACACACTTTATGTTATCTAAATAGTCTAAAGAGAGAGATAAAAATATAAGAATGACCTTTAAGATAATAGGACGATTTTTTAGCAAAACTGCTACTTTCGGATTTAAAAGATATATTATGAAGATTGATAGGCCAATGTTATAAGAAGTATCGTGTATCCAATAATATATAAGTATGCGTATTTTATAAACAAAAAAGAAATACAGTTTGAGATTCTAAAAATATTTTTTTCAGAATAGTGAGAGAAACTCAATTATAAAAATCATACATATATATATATATACAAAGAGAATATTACAAGTTTTTTTTTTCATACGAAATCTTTACAATTTTACTATATTTCTAGTAATGCAGTCTAAACAGCAAGGTCTATCAAAAGAAAGTCTTACAAAATTCTATAGTAATTTTTGCTATAAAATTTTCTCCGAATATATGTATGTGCACGCTTAATTCTATTAATTGCATACCCACATTCTAATAAATTTACTCAATTTGTGGATCCAAATCTATTACTAAGATCTATTACTGAGATGAAGGAAATGCACGATTATTGCATTTTTACGTATAAATGATCGTATTTGTCATTTCATTAACGTTTACATTCGTCGTTGATGAATGAATAAAAATTGCTTCATGCAAAAATCATCCTACTATCTTAACAGTTATGCCGACGTGAATAAAGCGAAAAGATCCCGTAATAAAGTGACGTCATTTTCGAGGAAACGCAGGTGCGATTTGTGTGCGTTCGTTGTAAAGGAGCAAGTGTCAAGCGATATACACGTTCAGCGCTCGGATAGCGCGCGAGCATAGTCTTTTTGTCGCCAGGGTTCCCCGGCGATAATGACACGCGTGAGCTCAACTCTTAGGCGCACACTGGCTTCCTCTGGGTAATACCCAGACAGATAAGTGACGCAACGGGCACCCTCGGGAGAACCTAGGTATATCCCCGGGTGCGAAATGCGTATATAAGCAACCGAGATTGATCGAACAGGCACAGAAGTCACTCACTACTTCAACCGAGAGCATTCACGACCATCCCAGAAGAATAGTCGGTGTTCACGATGAAGCTACTAGTTTCACTGTTGGCCTTATCATGTGCTATCGCATATGCAAGCGCAAATTTACCTGGGGATCAAGCGCCGCCGCAATTGACCGGACCGGTTCTACCACATGTAAGTAATTACTAATATTCAAACGAGAGACTTTGCTATTAAAGTGATGAAATTCACTACGACCGTTCCAAACGGAAAATCACGCTTGAAAAATGATTATTATAATTTTTATTATAATTTATTATAATTTTTCTCGTCGACCCGGATTTTTATCAATGCGGAATCGCGGAAAACTAAAAGAAAAGACAGTTTTATCATTAATATGAATTTTGAATAATCGTGTACGGATAATATATCTTTTTTCACGATTAGATATCACTTTATCTGACGCTTAGCGTGGCAAATTATTGATGTGCGACAATAGATTCATTACAGCAATCGCACCGTAATTACCTCGCGCTTAACGTGACTCATAAAGAAACCTATTGCACTTGGGATTTCTGATTGGAATGGAATATCTTAGTTTAAAACCTTGACAGATACATGAATGAAGAAAAAAATTTATTTCGTGAATTTCAATGACAACTCAATTTTAAAAACTGCTGATCTTTTGCTTACAGACACCGCGATTTCCACGTGAAGCCGATCCCCAAAACTCAATAACCTTCCAAGGCTCCCAGCCCTTGTCTGGCCCACATCGTCAACCTACTTGGGACTTAAATTTCAACCGCAATATCGCAAATAATGACCGCAGTAGAACGGACATTTTTGGAGGAGTAGGAAAAGTACCTGGCCAACCAGTGCAACCACACATCGGTATCCAGACTGAGAGGAACTTCGGCAATAACGGTTTTATCAGAGGTTCTGGTCAACTTCAACCGGGTCGTGGAGGTCACGGAGTCTCTCCGTCGTTCGGCGTGACCGGTGGCTTCCGATTCAGGAGAGAAGCCGACCCCCAAAACTCGATAAACTTCCACGGAACACAGCCTCTAAGCGGGCCGAATAGGCAACCCACCTGGGACCTCAACTTCAATCGTAACATACACAACAATGGTCGTACAACGGCGGACGTTTTCGGAGGAGTGAGTAAAGTACCTGGACAACGAGCGCAACCGCATGTCGGTATCCAGGCTGAGAGAAACATCGGCAAAAACGGTTTTATCAGGGGTTCTGGTCAGCTTCAACCGGGTCGTGGAGGTCATGGAGTCTCTCCGTCGTTCGGCGTAAGCACTGGCGTCCGATTCAGGAGAGAAGCCAATCCCCAAAAAAATTCGATAAACTTCCACGGAACACAACCTCTAAGTGGGCCGAATAGGCAACCCACCTGGGACCTCAACTTCAATCGTAACATACACAATAATGATCGTATGAGGACGGATGTTTTCGGGGGAGTGAGTAAAGT